TTTAATATATATATATATATATATATATATATAAAAAGAGTCTGTGTGTGTGTATATGTGTGACCACCATAGCTGCAAGAAGAATCAAACTAGAGACCCGAAACTTCTCACACAAACTAAGGGGATTCTAAGGGTGTGCACTTAGATATTATTTGTTAGATTTGACTCAAGGAAATGTTGGCCAATCTTTTGCCCTATAGCCATTAACCCCATAATTCTGCTTGCTGAAGGTCTATAGAGAAGTATCGTAATTTTTTTCTAATTTTCACTTACTGGATGAACAATATATAGAGGTTTTCTGTCAAATGTTCCCTTTTAACACAAACATGGGAAGAAAATTACAAATCTGAAAATTAAAACATTGTTGAACTAAGTTTGAGAAACGGGAAGAAAAGTATGAATCAGAGAATATTGGAGAATAAAAACACAGGAAGAAAAAAACGAATCTGTGGAGCCAAATCAAAACTATTTGCTTTTGAAAATATTTGAATTGACTTAAGTTCGGAACAAATCAATTAAAGAATTGGGGTAGCTACAGAAGTAACTAAGGTAATGTAGACGCTTTACTTGTACATTGAGGCCTCTGTGAACAATGAGGGGACCTATAATCCGGCAGCGGAGCGTGGGTAGTTTATGCTGTGTGTGTATAGATGGCTCGCAAAAATCTTCCTTCATCCACCCGATACTATAGTAGAGGCTGATTAGTTACCAAGTGATAGATAGCCCAGCTACCCTTATAACAAGATGACCCAGGATCGAATCTTGGTTTCTGCCACCACATACAATCCCCTCAGGACTCCCCTGAAGACAGCAGCAGACTAACAGCCAAATGTGGTGTACAAACTAATTCGTAATTCAATGTAATAATAATAATAACAACTAAAATAAAGCTAATTAACAATTCAACTTCGGTATTCGTATAAAACCCTTCTTTAATTAATCCAATAGTAAGTAGGTGTATAAGTTTTTAACCATATAAATATATATATATATAATCTTTCAAAATTCTTTTTAAGGTCTTTGTGACTTGCCCCTCTCTTTTTTATTTTTCTTGGCCAAGTAGTGCTTGTTACATCCGATCCCCAGAGTCTTACACTAAGTACTTAGCCAGTATTAAACTAGCTCACATATAAGACAAAGGAAAAATGACACTTGGTAGTAAACGTCCGTACAGCTACCCTCGCTGACTATATGGCGATCTACAACCGAGGCCGCGAAGCGGTTTAAGTATTTCTCTTTCAAACGAGCCCCCTCATTGGCTCGCCGGTAAATACGCAAGCTTACGATGCTAAACATCATGTTACGACACCTGTGGTTGGTAGGGTACAGATAGCTCAATGTGTAGCTATGTGGTTAACGAAAACAAATCAACCAACTTTTAGGCGAGCATGTCATGCACACACTAAAGAAACGAGAGCCATTGCCATAGAATGCTAACTTTTAATCAAAATTATGATTCAAAACAAACTGAATTTGACTAACAATGAATGAATGAATAAACACATCTTAACCACAAGGCTTTCATTAAGTAATGTCACAGTATTAAATAAAACTAATAAATGTTTACAATGTAAGGGTTAACGATTCCTATTATGACAAGTATAAACACAAAACTAACATTTATTGATTGTTTACTACGCTAAAACTAAGATGTAGTGTCGAAAGCTTTAGTGGGTTGCTCACGTGCAGAACATACGAGCGTGGGATATGTGTGGGCTTATTTTTCTTATTACAGCATTATTAAAGAGCCTCGTTTACGTAGTTATCGACTTTTCCACTGCGCATACTCTAAAACGCTGCATCTATACCATGACAATGATGAGTCAATATGCTCAAGTACATGTAAAGCAGACTGTTAGGCCTGAATGAAATGCAACTGAAGTATGAATGGATTCTATAAGTTGAAGCTTTTGTATAATACTGTGTACGTTAACATGAGAGAGTTGGCAACACTAAAGATGAATTGACGTACATTTGTACATTTTTTTTACAGTCCAGCACTTTTCTCTACAAAACAGTCATTGTATTTGATATTCAAATTAGGTAAATGGACGTAGGATTTTAAAATTTCCAAAATGAATATTGACATGACGAGAAGTATGCTTGCATGTAATTACATAAACCTACTTATTCTCTTACACACTTTTCATACATTAGGCTTAATAGTAAACGAGAATAACTCACCAATGAATGTGATTGCCTTTCCAAAGAAGCTTCCTAGGTTTTGCGACCAGTGATCTTGAATTGGAATGTGCATGTATTGAAAACCAAGTCCTTTTTGTTCAAATACATTTGGCAGATCTGGAGTCACATTTAATATGTATTTGATGCGATGTTTCTCAAGAACTTCTAAATCCCGGGAGTTTTCAGCATTTCCCAGGAAGAGGTATGGTATTATTTCGACCGGAAATGACGTGTCACTAGGGCTGACAGAATAGTCTTTGGTGTAGCCGCTATCACAGCGATCTCGACCAGATGCTACACAGTCAGGTGGTGTAATACGAAGTGTTTCTAGACCAAATATTTCTGGTTCTACTGGATTAACTTCCTGGCCCACTGATTCGCACCATTCCGGAAACTGGAGTTGAAAGTTCTCGAACCCGCCTGTTAAGATTAAAACAGTACCATAATACCACAATATAATAGATTATTGTTATAACAACGAAATAACACTTAGAGCAGGGATTCCCAATCTTTTTGTTCCTCTGTACCCATTCTCTCCCAAAGCACTAATGGAGGGAGGAGAGCTTGATTCTTAGTTTATCAGCTGATTTGTAACGAGGGTGTTCTATATTGCTTATGTTCTACATTACTTATTAAAAACATGTAGCACATCAATAACATCACAAGTTTTTGTCTAAAGAGCGTATATTTATGTGAACCACTTTGTCTTGATAGTAGATTAAAACACCATGTAAAGTGTAAACCATGGTTATACTCTCAGATCCCTATGTACCCCCCCCCCGAGAAGTGTAAATGTACCCCTGGGGGTACATGTACCACATATTGGAAATGTCTGACCTAGAGAAATACTGCAGCGTATTTACGACATATTTTAAAGTCACTGCATAACTACACAAACTATGTAAATGACACAAAATTTTTGTAAGTACGAACCTATGGAAATTACAGTTGAAAAAGATAAAATTACGTTGGCATACTTCAGCTGATACCAACGTATATCTAAAGATTAAAAATTAAAACTATTTCTGAACCATTGATACTAGCAACGTTCTTTTGTTGCACTGGTTACTTTTGTCCAATCAGCTTTAATAATTTAGAATGTCTGAAAAACGCAAAACAAAAAAAAAGTCATCGATACCACTGTTCTCCAATAATTTAAAGCATTACTACCACTTAACCTTTCAAACATACATCCCTCGCACATTAGGTGAGAAAAACACACACGCCCCCCACAAAAACCTGGTTACGTTCACGTTCCTTTAACTACAGAGATTTCCCACACTTCCATATGACTGGTTTCAAAAAAACATCGAAACTCGTGTATATTTTAATCATGTGTGTGTCTGTATATAACTTAAGGTAGGGTGTGGAATAGAACTACTGTATAAGATATTAAATAGAACTATATAAGATATTTAAGATATTGAATAGAACTACTGGAATAGAACTACTGTATAAGATATTAAATAGAACTAAATATCTTATAGTTGTATTTAATATCTTATAGTTGTATTCAATATCTTATAGTTCTATACAATATCTTATAGTTCTATACAATATTTTATAGTTCTATTCAATATATTTTTGTAAGGGTGGGAGTTTAATTAGTAGAAATATTAGAGTGGCTCCATTTCTACTTTAAGAAATGTAAGGGTAACTGCCTTCCCACAACTGGTTATAGACAGTGAAAGGCAGTAGAAGCTGAAACGTTGTGGGTGTAAGCACTCAGCTTCGTACCCTTATTTGATTGATTTTGTTTTATGATTTTCCATGAAGGCTGACTAGATTGACATCGGCGTTTGGATATTGTCTGATAGATGGGATGTCCCCAACGCATTTGGGTGCTATTACCACAGACATTATCAGTTATGACAGTAACTTGACAACCTGGACCGATAACGGTATTGCGATATTTAATTCATTATTGTTTTATAGTGTTGATTTAATCGCCTATTCACAATTAATGTAAACAATAGTTTGTAAGCTATATATATATATACACAGAGAGGGAGAGAGATAAGTATAGTTTATTTCAATAATTAGACAGATAAACTGCGACGTATACAAGTATGTGTGATTTCAGAATTCGCTTTAGATGGAATAAATGTATTCAGAAATGTTCGAAGCTTCTGGACGTTTTATGTCTTACGAACAATCTTTATCACATCCAAAACTAACCATGCTGTGCACATCTTGAATACCAGAATAATAAGTGCATAAACGAAAGTGTGAAATGTTCTCCTAAGCTCTAGTCATTGGATCAAAGTTATTTTCAGATAGAAAAAATTACATCGTCAGTAAAAAATAATATGCTTTTCAGAAGTTTTTTTCCTGTAAGTTTGTATGTTTTGTGTTATCTTTATTGTCTAGTTGGAGTCACTCGTTTAATTAGCTCATTTGTTTCACAGTTCTTCTACGTTACTAGAATTTTTTTCTGCACTTGACATTATAAAACATCAAGTTGGTTTTTGGGCAAACGAAAGCTGAAACTAGCTGTCTTAACACAATTCATTCGACTTCAGCACGTAGCCAACAAAAACAAAGTTTCGTATAAACACCACTCCATGATCAGACGAGTTCAAAATCCCAATATATATGTACTGGACTCGTAACAACTCCGTTCACCATGTTACACTAGTTAATCAGTGGTATTGCACACATTCATGTTAAAAACAAAAGCTCGTGCTTAAAATATTTTTCACAATAATAACAATTTAACTGTAGATTTTAATTTTATTGGTCTCAAATTGAAAGATACTGTTATATTACCTACTTACCATATGGTATAAAAAATTAATATAATATTGATAGAGCACAGTGTGAAAGAAAGTTAAATCAAACAGGAATATTTTGGACATGTTAAAGTCATTAATCACCACGATAAATTATAATTCTTCAAAACCACTTTAAATATTTTAAAAAATGACTATTTCGTACATTAGTTCGGCTTTCTGATTACTACCAAACAAAACATTTTTCTCCTCAGGACTTGTTTTTCATCAAATACAACATTTGGAATACTGGTGCCATAACAATACATGTTAATATGGGTTATGGATGTGTTAACATACTTTCAGATAATGGTGCCATACAAATACATGTTAATATGGGTTATGGATGTGTTAACATACTTTCAGATACTGGTACCATACAAATACATGTTAATATGGGTTATGGATGTGTTAACATACTTTCAGATACTGATGCCATACAAATACATGTTAATATGGGTTATGGATGTGTTAACATACTTTCAGATACTGGTACCATACAAATACATGTTAATAATGTAACATACATTAACAAATACATGTTAATATGGGTTATGGATGTGTTAACATACTTTCAGATACTGGTACCATACAAATACATGTTAATATGGGTTATGGATGTGTTAACATACTTTCAGCTACTGGTGCCATAACAATACATGTTAATGTGGGTTATGGATGTGTTAACATACTTTCAGATACTGGTGCCATAACAATACATGTTAATGTGGGTTATGGAT